TTGAATTGGAGTCGAACGAGTAAGTGCTCCGACGTCGACATTGATCAACGATGCGAAAACGTGTGTACGAGTGACGCAGACGCAAAACAACTGCTAGACAATGTCTTAGCACCTTCCGACGTGTCACGTCGGAAGTTGTCACCACATCTGCGAGCTCGAGCACACGCTATCGGTGTGCATGAAGGGACAGCTGCTTTACAGCGCAGTGGACGACGATGCGGATAGGTTATGATCTGCGTATGCGGATCATGTACGAGTATCACGATGCCCCTACGACAGGGCATCCGGGCCGTGAGAAGACATACACTCTTCTCACGAGAAACTTCTACTGGAACCACCAGTACAAGTGGGTGCGCAAGTACGTACGTGCTCGCGAAGTTTGCCAATGTGTGAAGCCTGCTGCGTACTCGCAGGCTCCACTACAATCACTAGTGACACCATCGGAGTGTTTGCAGTCCATTTCTATGGACTTTGTTTACGGTCTTCCACCAGACAACAAGCGGAGGGCTGGCGTTGTGGTCTTTGTTGACCGATTCAGTAAGATGGTTTATCTTGCTGCAGTACCGGCTGAGGTCACGGCCGTGCAGACTGCACGACCGTTTGTTGACATGGTGTTTCGACACCATGGGATGCTGCTCAACATTGTGTTGGACCGTGATCCACGCTTTACAGCGCGGTTTTGACAAGAAGTGTTTACACGTCTTGGAACACAGCTATCGATGTCGGCTGCGGATCATCCGAGACGGACGGTCAGACCGAGCGCGTGAATCGCGTGCTCGGTGACGTACTGAAGAGCTACGCACACTCGTGAACACAGTGAAGCGACTGCTTACCGATGGCTGAGCTTGCTATCAACAACCCGGTTCATGCCTCGACAGGGTATACATCGTTTTACGTGAATGCCATGCGGCATCCACGCCTTCCCAGCTTGTCCTTAAGTGGGGGAGGATCTACAGTTGCGTTGAAACAACCGCATAAGAACACTGATACCAACGTGACGACGCGAAGACAAGCGTCTCATTCCGAGAACGAGGCGAAGACAAAGAACACCGTGTCTATGCGGGGCTCAGGCACCGCGAACAAAAAGACGTCTGTACCGGGTACAGACAGCGTACAAGCCGGGCCTTCTGCGGAGAACAACACGTCTGTGCAGGGCACAGACAGCGCGCATACCGGGTCGGCTACCGAGAAGACTACGTCGGGGCACAGACAGCGTGCAGGCCAGACCTGCTGCGGAGAAGGAAGCCGTGCCCAACAAGCCATTCAGCACGCAATCACTGGACTTTCTTCAGCACCGACAAGCCATAATACGGTTTGTCAAGAATATCTGAACGCAGACAACGTTGGCAGAGAAAACAAAAAAATCAAAAAGAGTTCATTAGTTATGTTAGCTACACAGAACCTGCCACGACATGTAATTTCTGATTTTGGTGCAAGCAACCTTGATCCGCGCTTCATTGGTCCGTTCACCGTACTTGAACGACATAGCAACGTATATCCGATGGAGATACCGTCTAGCATGCGACTCCAACCGACATTGTACGTCGGACGGCTGAAGCCTTACGAGCAACACGAGCCATCTAGTCTTGATGGCTCGAGGAAAGCGAAGCGGCGTGAGCCAGCTTCTCGTGCGCGACGACGCGGTCACCCACGCGTCTCAGCTCCGGTCCAAGTGCGACTTGGATGTTCGAAGCAGTCTGAGCAGCCACCGCGACCTGCGCCTTCTGTAGGCGCAGCTCCTGTTGCAGGGCAGCGATCTCCGCACTCTGGGATTGCTATAGAGCGATGACACGATCGTGCAGTGCGCGAGAGACATGGTCAACCTGGTGTTGACCATACGGAGGGTATTTCTCTGCCCCCGCCCTCGCCTCTGCGTGACGCGCACGGCTCGGTACGTTGGATTATCAAGCAGGTAGCGGACTATGAAGCCGTGAAGACGAGCCGAGATCAAGCTCGTCTTCATATTCGTCGGAAAGGATTTCCTCTCCATACGTGGGAGCCATGTGACGTCTTGAAGAAGGACGTTTCAGAAATGGTGAGGGCAGACGAGGCCCAGCACCGAGTGCAGGCATAATGGCTGCACTAGAGCTGCGAGTGCCACCAGCCCAAGGTGCATCACGCTGCTCAAGTTGAACACGAAAATCGCACAGTAGAGCGGGCACAAGCAAGGAAGTGTACACGAGATGATCGCGCTCATAGGGCGCAGTTTCAGCTACCTGCGCAGGGAATTCCCGCCTCCATAGCGTCATTATGGAGGCGATCGATGGGATAACGCCTCGAAAAGGCTTCAAAGCACTGGCGAGTCGCGCCAATGCGCCCGCGATAGCCCTTCGCATTGCTGTTGAAGTCCACAACAAATGCGCTCCAAGATTGACAAAGTGCCACCCACTGGGGCACTTTGTTTTGCGCAAAGTTTTCTTCGACGCATTCAATCGGAGCTCATAAAAGAGGCCGATGTAGTAGTCGCGGATTGGATTCGTTAACGGATCAAAGTGCATGTCGACGACCTCAGCGTCATCATTGATGGCGCTGCACACATACAGTCATATCGGGCTCAGCGGTGATGTCGCGCCGAGCCTGTCAGCGATTTCAGATGCAGTTGGCAACCGGGGAGCGCGTACAGCAGGTGCCGTACGCGGAGAAGACGATGGCACCGACACAGCTGGCTGGCCTCGTCCTCATTACGCGGACGCTTCGATCCAGGAGCGCTCGGAACATCGTCACAGCCTCGCAGCGACCCAACGGGGGGATCTGGCGTTGGTTCGGTCGACTTAGAGTCGCCAGATGAAGACGAAATGTCCTCATATTTCATGGGGACGTCGTCAATGTCAGACCCATAGTCAATGAGAATGACTCCTTCATTAAACGTAGCTGACGATTCCTCCACGACGACTGACGGTCTGTCAGTCGTAGCTTGTGCGCACTTTTGCTTATACAGAGTGTGATATTGAGCGACAGAAAGGTTTCCTTCTGTCGCGGGCGTGTTCGTTTGCGCGGACACTGAGGTGGTGGTGCCGCATGAGCAGACACAGACGTAGCTGAGTCTGCCGGAGCAGACTCTTGTGCGGGTGTCTTCCTCGGCGAGCTCATTGCGAAATGAACTCGGGTTTCTCAAACGTTTTGACGGCCTTGTCAATACTTTGAATGATGTATCAAGACTTGAGAGTATTAGCTTAGCGGGGTGGAAGGGTGGGTGGGTGGGGAGGGGGGGGGTGACGAGGTTTCACGCAAGTGGCTACACATCGCCAGTTGGTTACAAAAGATGCTTTCCACATTGGTGTGAGAAACACCAATAGTTACCTTTGGCAGACTGTTGGTCTGCATGCATTTAGGCATTCATTGGTTGAAAGTCAATATCTTCAACCAATTAGAATAGTAGGATTCTGTCGTTGGTAAATACATATCATTTCGAATATTAGATAGCTACATTATCTTGATTTCCTCTTTTTTACCTCTGCTCCCAAATGGACCTCGGTGGTGCGCTAAACAGAGATGATCTTTTTCTTAGAAGGAGACAAACAAGAAATGACCAATCCGATTCGAGTATATCTCTGTTAGGAAATTGTTTTACATCTTCCAGCAGGCTTCTTTGTAGTAAAAATATTATGGCAATATTTGTTTGGAAGTATTTATATTTAGTTGTGATAAAAACTTACAGTAAGATATTTCCAGTATCGTCATAAATTATTTGTAGTCCATGCTTCAATCCCAGGTAAGCAAAACTGAGAACCAACCACTGCTTGGTTGGCTGGCAAGCCCTTTTGAGTGCATCCAGCTCAGTCCTCCTCATTATCCAATTCACTATGCCTTTGACAACCCCTTCACCAGCCAGCAATGTATCTTGCAAGTAGTGGTGTGATATTGCTCTTATAAAAACAATAGCGTTTTTGTCAATCTCAAATGTTTCCCTGCAAGCACACAAAAAAGCAAGAATCTCATTTTGTATTATCGGAAGGCCTGTCTTCCGGATTATGAGCGACCTTCGTAGCCATCATTGTGAACGAGCAGCACCGTTTTCCATTATTAAATGAGTAGCTTATACCATATTGGTAGCGATGTGGATCTCTGGTGCCATCATCCCAAAAATCAACTGTACAGTATCAGAACGCATGCACCAACATTACTTCACTAGAAGTCTCAAAGAAATTGACGTAATGAACGATCGCTTCATTTCCATCAAAAGTAGTCAAAACTTTCGGCTTCTCCGCAAAGCACTTTCAAAATTCCCACCAAAGTCCACCACACCCTACCGTAACTAACCAGCGGCAGCATTGACCACTCCCGCTTTAATGAGACCCACCACAAAGTTGAGGGACCATAATGGCGACACTTTCAGCTGCGAGGTGCAATCAAATACTGAAATGTTACTCATTCGCTTGACGAACACCAACACCGACGCTGTTTGGTTAGTTTCAATGCAATATTTTTAACGACATACAGCCTGATGATTCTTTATGTGCACTTATTTGGATCAAGGACAAGCAAAGTGACCGATCAGAGCGTGCAAAGCTGTAATCGTGATGCGTTGAGGATGGGAGACTTGCACCGTGTCATCACAGCAGCCTTGGTGGTATGTACGCCATGGTCATTCGAATGGCCCCGATGTATTATAACTCTATTGGTATGCACCGTAGAACGTGGTACTGTAGAAGGGACCCTCGGCTGCGGCGGAACGCTCACGTTGGTTCAGAAACGTTCTCCTTACTTCATGAAGCTCAAGCTGGCCCTAAACCTCGATGGGAAACAGGGCAAGTGGTCGTTCCCAATGATTCCAGAGGATGCGAGTGCCATCCAGAAGCGGGAGGCGGAGAAATCGGCTGAACGCGAGATTAAGTAGCCACACTCCTGCAGGCACGACGGACAGCTTCTCCAGTAATATGGAAGCTGGTGCTTTCAGTATGAAATATCAAAGCAATTTTGCTGCTTTAGTTGTGCGCACTACGATAAAACTTCATTTCGTTAACGTCTATCTAAATCGTTTGGTGGAGTATTGGAGATAACTACAGCGTCACCTCCTCCACCTCGAAAGACTTAAGTGCATTCTGCAGTCTGTGCAGTGCTTCAGCGGCCGTAGGACGGTCGTCGGGTTCCACGGAGATACAGGCGTGGGCCAGCGTCAGCAGCTCCACGGGGCAGTTGCGAGAGAACTCGACCTGGAGGGTACCGACAGCCACCATCTGCAGGATCGCAGCCTCCGTCGGCTTGCGTCCACTGGGGTTCCTCACGTTAGCGTAAGGCATAAAATGCGTGTCCAGCTCACTTAGCAACACGCCGAAAGAGTACACGTCGGCCTTGCCGTCGTAGTGTCCTCCCATCATCACCTCGGGCGCCATCCAGAGCGACGTTCCGACTGCGTTCGTCATGAGGTCGTCTGTGCGTTCCCGAGAGACACCAAAGTCCGTAAGCTTGGCGTTCAGCTGCGACGTAAGCAACACGTTGCGAGACTTGAGGTCGCGGTGAAGAATGTTCGGTTCCATGGAATGGAGGTACGTCAGACCGTTAGCAATGTCCATGGCGATCTTCACCTTGTCGTGGTCAAAGCCTCGCGGACGCGTGTGGTTGTCCAAGAAATGGTTCAGTAGAGCGCGAAGGTCTCCGCCGACGAGATATTCCGTCACGCAGCTGATTGTACTGAGGGATTCCCACGCAATTCCGATAAAGTTGACAATACACGGGTGTTCCAGCTTCGCCATGACCTTGGTCTCTGCGAACAGAGCGTTGATCTCGGTCATATCCTGCGCCGTCTCTGGCAGTAGCGTCTTTACAGCTACTGTCTGGCCATTGTACGACGCCAGGAACACTTGGCCGAAGCCACCGCGGGCGATGAGCTCCTGAATTCGAATTTTCTCGAGAGGGATACGAGCGGCTACGATCACCGGGTCGTCCCAAATGCCTCCTTTACGCATGTGTCGTCTTGTGAACGGATCATCCTGAGTGAGAGAGAAGATACCAGACGCGTTCGACATGTCTGGTTCCTTGCGGTGGTTGCGACGGCTGTTGAGCTTTCCGAACGCGCCAGGAGGAGCGAGCTTGGACTTAGCAAGTGGAACGGCTTGAGAGTCTCCGAAGTTCGACGGCATCTTGCTCAGCGAGAGTCGCTGGTTGGCCGCTCGTCTCCTCATGGTCACAAACCCTCCAATGACGAACATGACGCACGCTATGCCGACAACCACGCCGGCGATGGCTCCTCCAGACATGGAAGAAGAGCTGTCAGGAGACGCAATTTGCGTGACCGACTCGTACGCTGAAGCATTGCGCGTAGCTGTCGGCGTAGGTGTTAAATCAGGAGTTGGAGTCCAAGGGGTCGGGAGTGGAGGAGTGGGTGTCGGGAAGTTGAACTGATCGGGATTGCCCGATTGATCAGCACCGCCCGAGTTATCTCCACTCGCTGATGTTGCCGTTTCAGAATTATCATGAAAGATGGCACGGGGCGGACCATTATTATGAGAAGGAATTTTTGGTGGGTTCTCGTTCTCGTCGGTATTGCTACCGAAGAATCCGTCCTTCACCGAGGCCAGTACGTCACCCTGCAATTTTTAATCGTTAGTTAGTTCAAGACATGAAGCAGAGTGGCTTCTAGATTAAGGAAACGTACCGTGTCATTTTTCAACGACTCGAGAGAGTATTCCTTCATTGTTGCGGTTGGAAGGAAGAAGAGAGACTGGAAGCCTCAAGACCTAGAGCCGCGAGTGCCTCACCGAATCGAGCAACTCGATGCACGGATAGCGAGCGAGAAGCCACCTCTCCTGTTGTCTTTTGCAAGAAGCCCACACTTTTGCACGCTGCAGCTCAATTGCAGTCCATCCGGGAAACAGTCTGGCGTGTGTAAACCCCCTGCATTTTCCAACCTCGACACGCAAAAGCGACAAAAAAGCACATCGACGCAGAGTTTCAAATGAAAAGAGCGGCCACTTGGCCAGGCTCTCACAGCGATCGTCGACTCGAATTACTTTTTGGAACGAAGCTTGTTCCCACCATCTGTAGCCGAAAAATAGCCTCGATTTTGGCCACCGGAACGTGAAAAATGCAGTTCAAAGCTTATAATAACAATTTTATAGAATTATTTGGACTCACGCCTCAAGAATCGCATTCACTCGCACTCGAAGTTCCAGGCTGCTCCCTTCGCGAATTTTTCGCGCCACCACCGCAAGTTGCTTGTCCATCTCTCTGCAAGTTACAGTGCAACCACGCAGCTCCCATCACAAGAGCCTCGAGCGCGCCCCATGCACCAAGCGTACACTTGAGGCGAGACGCAAAGACGAATGCGCTGACTTGGTTGCCTCTGCGTCGTGACGAAGTGGACCGGATCTACAAAGCCAAAGCCTCCTCTTCCCCTCCCGTGAATGTTTCCTAAGTTATTAATACCGATAGCATGGACTGCAACCGCTCGAACGCCTCGGCCGCTGTCGCCGACAGCCTGTCGGTCGGCCGGAAGGATTCAGAGACAGTCGTCCGGGAGATGGGCATCTGCAAAATGGCAGTACCAGGCAACTTCCGACCTGTTCCAGGCTCCTTCGCATGCGAGTATGGCGATTGCCGACAGTCGAGTTCTTATTCTTCCAACACAACTCCGAACGAGAACGTGCTGGCCATTCGTTATATCTGTCGCCAATCATGACTTATGGTGCCATTCACAGCGACGTGCCTATCCAAAAATTATTAATTAAGCTGCCAAACATTTACATGTTAATACAATGTAGCTGCTCTGTAGGATACTGTATTCTTCGACTTTAAGCTCATACATGTATAATACATGTAGCAAGTACGGTGAGCGCAGCTAGTCGCAAGCGTGGGTTGAATCTCCCAATACAAAAATCAAGCTTTTGAAAATTGACAGACAGAGCTACGGCTGGTACCCTGCTGCTCCTGTTAAGTCCGACGTCGTACCTAATGTGAGCTCAAGGGTTTAATCGATAAGATCGGGTTTTGGGTCTACAGAAGAAACTTCGACGAGAACCCACAATATGTGAGTCCGTCAGCGATGCGATCTCCAACTTGTCCTGTGATCTTGATGCTCCCTCTTCTTCGAACCGCTCCAGTATCGAACGGAGGTCGACTCCTCCACGACAGCCAACTATTAATATTCATGGATGACCTATCTTAGATCTCCGCCATGAGAGCCTCAGCTTCTCGCACTTCTGTTCGGTAGTGAACGTTTAACCGCCACTGCGCGACCTCTATATCTACCAAGGAAGACCCCCACGGTTTATGAGCTGCTGCCTTCGTAAGGAAACGTGCGCCTACGATCCCATGAACGTCACTTTCCAAACCGTTTCGTCGTCCCAGAATTTTTCGGAGCTGGCGATCTATCACAAAGTTGTACGAAGTATCCATCCCCCCGCAATAGGAGCAGCAACGGGGACGGCGTGGCTAAATACTGTTCATGGTTTCGGTGCTCCTTTCTCCTGCTGGTCTAGCACCTCTATTGTCAAGAAAGTAGCGAGGAAGCGTAGGAGCGTAGACGGCGAGTACGGCGCCGTAGACAGTTGTAGGGGAGGAGGGGAGTTGCTGCTCGAAAGCAAATTGAGAAGTGATTAACCAGTTAGAGCTGGCGGCTGCAAGCTAGTAGCTGCCGCACAACCAGTAGTTCTTGACAACCGGATATTCACGCACGTATCCAGGTCCATCCTAAAACCTATCTTTCTCAAATCCTGATTTTCTCTGTAACTACCAATGAAAGCGTATGAATCCTAATTCTTATCTTGGTCGGAAATTTCGCACAGCGTCCCATAATCACAATTTCCGGCTGGAAGCTTGATTGTTGCAAATCCATGGGATTTTGGACCAATAGGATTGTAGTATGATGTAAAGACACGCAATCTTAAGTTTACGCTGATCAGAATAATCTGACCAACTGAACTCAAATAATTGACGTAGCTGGTCACTGCCATGCCATTGGCTAGTGACCACCACGTCACATGACCTCCCTTCGAAGAAGAGCCTCTCCTAGAGAAAAGGGTTCTCTTTCTTCTTTGACTTCCAGTAGAGGTCGATGAGTCCGGGAATTTGCGTTAGATTCTCTACGGGCTCCCAAGTGGCTTCCTTCTTGGTTTCACCAAGCCACCAGATCTTGTATTGCGGTTTTCCCTTGTACTTGCGATGTCCAATGACGGCTTCAACGAGTTGGCCCTCGGTACCATCGGCTAGCACAACCTTATTCACCTTTTGCCTCCGCTTGTGGTCTTTGCGGTACGGCTTCAATAGTGGCGTATGGAACACCGGATGCAGCTTCAATCCTTGCGAAAGTCCTAACTCATACGAGTCTCGAGACACCTTCTTTAGTATCGGGAAAGGTCCAATAAATCTTGGAGCTAACTTCTTCGACTGTGCATACCCCTTGTGGCGGATGTCCATGTTCTTTCCGTCAAGTAACACCATATCACCAGTTTCGAAGTCTTGGACAAGTCTGTTCCTGTCGTAATGGTGTTTCATGCGTTCTTGGGCTTCACTCATACGGTCTTGTGCTACCTTGAGGAAGACCTCTTGCCGGAGTAAGAACTCTTCTGCTGCTTTCTCCAACTTGTTAAATTCCGGATCTAACGAAACCTCGTCGGGCATGTACGGAATATACCCAAGATCCGCTTCAAACGGTGCCATTCCGATCGTCGAATGCACACGTCGATTGTAGGCAAACTCTGCCATATGAAGAAACTCATCCCAATCGTTCTGGGCTGGGTTCACGACTCCACGAAGAATATCCCCGATAAAACGGTTCGTACGTTCCGTTTGTCCATCCGTCTGTGGTCTAAATGCCGATGACAGGTTATGCTGCGTTCCCATAGCAGATATAACAGCCTGCCAAAACTTGGACGTAAATTTGGAGTCACGATCAGACACAATCGTCTTCGGAAGGCCATGATCTTTTACATAGTTCTTCATGAAGACATGCGCGGTATCTTCTGCGCTATCTGTCGTCTGCGTTGCAATGAACTTTGCACGCTTGGTCAATCGATCCACGATGACCATGATGGCATTGCAACCATCCTTGCTGGGAGGTAAGGACACAATGAAATCCATCGAAATGTCGATCCATCTACCTCTTGGTACTTCCAGCGGTTGAAGTAATCCCGGCGGTTTCACTTGTCTCGCCTTGTTGCGCTGACACATTTCACAAGTGTTGCAATAACGCTGGATATACTTCATCATCTTCGGCCAATAATACTTCTCTCGTACTGCGACGTAAGTCTTGTACGATCCAGGATGGCCTGCCGTTACGGCATCGTGGTTCTCGCAAATGACACGGTTTCTCAGATCTTCGTCATCCGGAATATACAGTCGCGGACTTTCATCTTCACCGGTCTGGTAGTATAAAACACCATCACTGAGCGAGTAATGCGGAACGTTGTCTCCAAGCTTAAGCTTCTTGACAATTCCCTGCAAGTCCTTGTTCCACGAATACATCTTCTTTGCGGACTGTAACACAGTCACGTTGTTCGCTACCATGGTTGCCACAATCTCACGGTTTTGAGCCGTATCAAGAAGTTCCTGAAGGCTTACTTGCGCAGCCTTATACTCAAACTCAGGGTTTATGATAATGCGTCTGCGACTACATTTGTTTCTTCTGGGATCCACTTGAACATGGGTCGAAACTCCGCGAGTTCATTGAACCACCGCGCAATGCGTCTATTCGCTGTCTTCTGCGTAAGAATCATCTCGATGTTCTTATGATCGGTTTCGACAAGAAAGGGCTTGCCTAGCAGATATACACGCCATGCCTTCAGAGCATGCATGATTGCGAGAAGCTCTTGTTCGCGTACTGGGTAGTTCAGCTCTGCAGATTTCATCTTCCGGCCAGTAAAGGCAATTGGATGTTCCAACTCTCCCTCCTTTTGAATTAAGACTCCCCCAATTGCGAAATTTGAGGCGTCCATTCGAATACCGAAAGGCTTGGTGACATCAGGAAGACGGAGAACCGGGGGTGATGACAAGCGTTTCTTTAGCTCATCAAAACACCGCAGCTGGTCCTCATTGAGTTCGATCGCATCTCTAGAGCGTTTTCCCTTGATACATTCGTGCAAAGAACCTGCAAACTGAGCGAAATCCTTGCAAAATCGAGAAACGTAGACAGTTGTCCCCAGAAAGCTTTCCATTTGCTTCTTTGTCTTGGGAACAGGCCAATCTGTGATAATCTTCACCTTATCGGGGTCCATTTGAACGCCCTTGCGTCCGACAAAGTCACCTAAACATGGGATTTCGTCGACACAAAATTGGCACTTGGACAGCTTGATGTATAGCTTCTGCTCTTCACATCTCCTCAAAACCCTGTCCAACGCGGCCATATGCTCGTCGACATCTTCACTCTTGGTGTACACGTAAATGTCGTCAAAGTAGATCCGCATCACGTCACGTAAATCCCTAAAAACCTTCTGTAACAACCTGTTAAAGGTTCCCGGGCTACCGATGAGTCCCATGGGCGTGACGAGATATTCAAAAAGACCGTCTGGAGTCGAAAAAGCAGTAAAAGGTATATCTGATTCACGTAGCGTAACTTGGTAGTAACCCCAGAGTAAGTCCATGCACGAGTACCAATAGCTGCCGGCCATCGCATCAAAGGTGTCTTCTTTGCGAGGCATCGGAATAGCCGGTAGAACCGTAGCTAAATTTAACTGACGATAGTCGTGCACAATTCGCCATCCGACTGGTTTCTTCACACAGAAAGTCGGTGCACAAAACGCTGACGTACTCGGTCGAATGATGCCAGCTTGAACCATCTCTTTGGTCCATTCCTGTATCGTTTTCTTCTGATCAGGACTTTGGCGCCATTGTTTCACCGAAATAGGCGAAGTATCAGGCTTGAGCAGAATCTCATGCTCAATCCCTTCACGTACTGGGGGTGTCTCATTCGGAAGTTCCGTACGAAAAGCCGTATCCGCATACTTACGTAGCGTATCGTACGCCGGATTGTCCTTGAGAGCATCCCATCCTTGACTCTTGAAGCGTTCCGCCTTCTCCGAGTCATGCGGATTGATAACAAACACCGCTTCGATGTCCTTGTCCCTACGCAACATTTGCTGGAACTGGTTGGACGAAATAACCTTCGTTCGTCCAAACTGGCCGTTGTGGCCATGCTGCCGATAGTAGTTGTAGATCTCACGGCTCTGCGCAATTCTGGCGCGGCGTTGTCCTGCCACCTAACGGGCTGGACGTGTCTTCGGCAGTCTCAACTTCACAGTCTGCGTGTTCTCCACGTTGATGCGAGGTGCAATCTGTCCAGTACTCCAGTCGATGTCAGGGTTCTGCTCCCGCAGCCACATCATGCCTAAAACTATGTCCTTTCCCTCAGGAACAGGCATGACTTGGAATGTTCCCGTTGTCAAGGGAAATCCTGGTAACTGCAGAGACATCTCTACAGTCCGACGTGGACGATGCACAATCTGATCATAACCGAGATCAACTTGCATCATGTCACCTTCAGTGACATCCAACTCAAGCTTCATCACTAACTCCTCAGTTACGCCGTTCAGGCTACTGCCGTTGTCAATGAATATCGTGACGGGCCTCTCTTGGTCTTCCGTCTTGAATGCTCGAGCTTCAGCCTCTAGGATCGCATACACTGCGCCCTGCATGTACCGGTTTGCTTCCGTACGTTTTGGCTGAGTACAATCTGGAAAAATGTGGCCAACCTTGTCACAATTTCTGCACGTAGCTGTCTTTTTCCAATCATCGTTCTTGCCCTTTTTCTTTTCGTAACGCTTGTTGTTCTGCTGTTTCGATTTAGGCGGATGATGCCCCGAGTCTGACGACCCTTTTGAAGGCTTCGAAGGTGCTCGAGGAGGTTTCCCGGAGTAGTGCGCAAACTCGAAGTTCGAAGCAATTTCAATGGCTTCTTGTAGCGTTGCTGGACTCTCTTCTTTGATCTTCTTTGCTGTTTCTTCACGTAACCCATTTTGAAAGAATAATCGTTTCTCTAACTCACTGATCGTCAATTATGTCTGCGACAGCAAGTCTTGAAACTTGGATACATACTCGTGAATAGTCTCGGTCTGTTTGAGACGAAACATTCTCTCGCGAAGATCATACTCGAAGTCCTTTGGTCGAAAGCGCGTGCGCAGCTGTTGCTTAAACAACGACCACGTGGGGTTCACACTCGCTCTCTCACATTCGGCTATAAAAGCGCGATACCAGTTCAACACTGACTTGCCTAAGTTGCTGGAGATTATCGTCACGAAACCTGACGATTCTGCCTCCATTAACTCACGTCTGCTTGCGTAGTACTGCTCGGTGGCAAAGATCCACAATTCAATGTCTTTACCATACTTTCTTTCATACATCGGAGGGTCCTTCTTCTTCTGCTCACCCCTAGCGGCAACGAGATATTCGAATCTCGCATTAGCTTGTTGCATTTGGGCTTGCATTTGCGCTTGCATCTGAGCTTGATACTGCTGTTGCTGCTGCGTGGACATGGTCTCAGGTCCAGCCGCATCCTGAGCAGCATCAGTAGCAGGGGAGGCTGACTCAGCCTGTGCATTGGCACTGGCCCCTTCTCTTGACGCTTGCGATCTTGTATTTGTTCGCATCGTGGGTTGGGTAGCTTCAGCGTCGCTCGGAGCACTAACACGGCTCTGTTGACGAGGACGAGGGTTTGGTGACGGGCGCTCAGCTGCACGACTCCTTCTTTGAGCCATTACAAGCTGGACTTCTCAGCGCAAGTCTTTTAAGATACCAGAACCCTATACTGAAGTTAAACGAAGCGAAAAAAGGTTCCGATTAAAGTTCCTCCCTATAATCTACGTTTCTTGTCTACGTGGATGGAGTGATCAAAATATCCTTCAAGAATTTCTTGGGTTTGCTCAATACGTTTCTTGAGCAATTCACTGAAGTCGTGAATGACGTTCCGGGCGGCTGCGTCCTTAGAATCCGGAATTTCGTTTCGGATCAGGCGGACGAGCTTAAGTTGCTTGGCCGTTGTTAGCCACAAGTCCAGACGAAGCTGATCGAGCTGCTTGTGTCGATTAATCAAGGACTTTGTGCTGTTTACAAACGGATCTTCGGGTTGACGAGTCTTTCGCTTACCCATAAACAAGCACACTGAAACAGATGCAGTAGCAACGAATGTAGATCAAGCACAACCAGTGAGTATCTAATCGGACGTTCGCTCCTTTAAGCTCTGATGCGGGATAAGGATCCACTTAACGTGAAAGCGTTAGACCCAAGGCCACCAGAAAGAGTTTCCAATTGTGTGTACCACACTAGTGCGCAACCACACCAACTAGCCACTGAACGTAACAGTTCGTGCTGAGGCAATACCCTTTGTGATCTAGTGCTTCCCCAACTATGTGGCTGGCACCAATAACCTCAGGACAACTCGCTTCTGGCTATGCCACCACGAGTGCCCTACTTGAACCGAAGCTAGACCAACAAGTGCTACCATGTCAAGAAAGTAGCGAGGAAGCGTAGGAGCGTAGACGGCGAGTACGGCGCCGTAGACAGTTGTAGGGGAGGAGAGGAGTTGCTGCTCGAAAGCAAATTGAGAAGTGATTAATCAGTTAGAGTTGGCGGCTGCAAGCTAGTAGCTGCCGCACAGCCAGTAGTTCTTGACAACCGGATATTCACGCACGTATCCAGGTCCATCCTAAAACAAAATTAAATCCTGATTTTCTCTGTAACTACCAATGAAAGCCTATGAATCCTAATTCTTATCTTGGTCGGAAATTTCGCACAGCGTCCCATAATCACAATTTCCGGCTGGAAGCTTGATTGTTGCAAATCCATGGGATTTTGGACCAATAGGATTGTAGTATGATGTAAAGACACGCAATCTTAAGTTTACGCTGATCAGAATAATCTGACCAGCTGAACTAAAATAATTGACGTGGCTGGTCACTGCCATGCCATTGGCTATTAATAGTGACCACCACGTCACATCTATCGCACTGCTTAAGGAGCCTGTGTTAAAATAGTTGACGTAGCGTAGCACGGGGTCCTGGAAATCGACCGTTTGGTCCTCCTGTACCAAACGACAAAGGCTACAACAGCAAGCATCGCAGCGACGGAGCGCATGACCATACCCAGGACATACAAACAATAAACAAGAATAATGAGGATCGAATGACTTACGAAGGACACAAATTACGTACTTCTCCCTGGCTGGTATTGCCATTCACCCCACCACCGTTGTGGACACTACATGTACGTGTATTTGCCAATTCCTCGTTTGTGTTCTGATTGTTATACGTAAGTACGCAGTAGACGTCGCGGACTGGACTGTAACGATATCCATTGTCTAAGTGCTCGTCTGTCATAGATGATGTGATTTCCTGCCGGACGCGTTGAGATTGTTCTATAATAGTCGTAAGATTCCGGTAGACAGACACAAACATAGTCTTGGGAGATGGTCGTTTGCCTCAAGATTCCGACCTCGCCGTTCCTCGACATGGTCGAAAGCAAACCACTCCTCAGCAGCTTTTCTCAGTTCAATAGAAGCTTAATAATATTGTGTGCAGGATATGCGTGGTGCGACCGGTGCAAATTCTTGATAGCAAACGCGGTGTTTGTACTGAATACATGTATGTGGAAGCCGACCTGTTACAAGATCTAACACATCGTTATCGTGATACGATCTCTGGTGTTGAGTAATGCGTATCGACGAGATCATTCGCAGACTTACTGTCAACTTGAGTAACGAGAGCTTCAGTACATGACTGCTCTCGATGAAAGAGTGCCATGGTGATATCTATATATGTAGCAAACGACGCCAGGGATTTCTAATTTTAACCAAATATCATGCATATTTTCATGGGCATGTAGCTCATTTAAAAATCTGATTTTTCGTAAATTATTTCAAAATCCATTTCAGCCAATCAAGAACCGTTTGTGCACTCCACACCATTATTTAATTGCAGTAGATATAATTTTATTTTTTAATTGCAGTGGATATAATTTTATTACTTCTACTGCAATTAAATAATGGTGTTGAGCATGCACAACTCTAATAAAGATTTTATGAGATGGCGCTTATCGCTTTTCGGCGCATTATTGCGCGTTGTTCAGGCAGCTCATACATATTAGTTTCCACTCCCCTTCTTGTCACGAGACAAATGGTGGCCCAAAACCAAGATCTGTTAAAGAGGAGAGCGTCATCGGCCTAATTGATTCTCCCAATAAACGTTGCAATAAATAAGTTTGTTGTTATCAGCTGAGCAACAAATAATGACTAATTGTAAAAACAATTCGGCAATGCATCTTGCCACGCCTAATTCAAAAAACCATTATAAACTCAAATACTGCTTTATTTAATTAATATCCTGGTATCTGATACAATAGCTTGACGGAGTTGTGAGACCTTCAAATAAAAGGGGATGCCAAAGCCATTTAGGCCAAAACCAAGACATCGAGAGCAAAGTATGAATATCAGAGGACGGAGTACAGCCCCATCATCTCTGAACGACCTGGGGGTAGTGCTGATGTTTGCAGAGCTTTGTAAGAACAGACTAACCTGGAGTTGGTATAGGACATGCTAGTGGTTGCAGATCGCCAGAACCATCCTGCCTCCTTAGCACCATGCGGCTTGCACAAATACCGATATTGTACCACGGCAAAATTATATTGACCACTACTGAAATGGCAGAAGTATTGCTGCTTTATTTGGTATCGATACTTGACGACGTGTACATTGAGTTGGACGGACATCTACACAGTTTTGGCGGCGGATTCACACTAATCCTGTCTACTGGCGACGGGTACACTTCGAGGTAGTGGAAGTGCTGGGAGCCTCAGTCGCAGGGGTAGCCTCGTCGGTGGAAGGGGTAGTTTCCTCCGTTGCTGGGGCTGTCTCCTCCGTTGCTGGAGTCTCGCCGCCACCAGCGGTAGATGCTTCATTACCAATCTCGTCCGAGTTCGTCGCAGGAGCATTCGTCGCAGCGTTGGTAGTACTGGTGGACGGGGATGTAGAATTGGTCGACGGAGACGCGTTGGAGGCAGGAGTCGGCGTGGTAGTTTGTGTCGAGCTCGAACCAGACCCGGCAGCGACCGTCGACGCTCCGGCTCCCACCGTTGATGGCGGCTCACCTTTGCCGGACCCACCCTCCAGCCACACACAGTCTGAGTACACTTGCCACTGTTCGCCATGGACGGCGAGCCAGTAGATCGTCAGACGGTTGGCTTTCGCGCACTTGGACTCGTCGAACGGAATCTTTGAGGGGCTCCCCGGGAATTTCGTCTGGCAGTCGTAGTCGAACAGAACCTTGGTGTCGTCACACCAGACCTCACACGGACCAGGATGTGTGAATCCCGTGTATTCGAGCTGCGATGCTGGTAGCTTGGAGCGAGCAGAGTCCTTAAAGGTAGTGAGTCCGCAATCCGGGTCAACTTCGCTGCTGTAGAGCTTCTGGTTCTTCGCAATGAGTGCACCAAGAGAACCACCACCCTTCGTGGCCAGATTGGCTTTGATGATGTTGATGGCTCCATTGGGACCGTAGCCGTACTTCCCTCCATCAATTTCACCGAACACTTTGCTGTCGATGGTGCTGCCGTATCCGTTGGACGGGTAGCCTTGGGTCCACTGCGCTGCAGGGTCCACAATGTAACCGTGGCCGTGTACAGAGGGAATCGACGTTAAGATAGCGGCTCCTGCCGCGACGAGAGCGATGATCTTCATTGTTTTCTTTCCCCCTGGCTTGCTTGATATGCTGCTACAGTCAGCTGCAAATTCGAGAATGACGGCAGAGTTGCACGAGATGTTTCCGCAATTCGGACAGTAATACAGCAACGTTAATCGATTGCGTGCCTCCGAGTCATAGTTTGATCGGGTTTTTATCTCGTGGGGGTGCCATCCATACAGCTGGGCGGTCTGCAACGTAAAGGACCGGAAAAGCTGAAGAAAAGCAAAGCCGCCAAGATCCCCTACAATCAGTTTTGATGATGGTTGATACCGAGCTTTAATCACGAGATTGTAACTGGAGTATCCACCCCCCTCATCGATTATTAAGACCATGTACGTCACTGTACTACGCTGTAGCTACCGGACATGTACAGTGTATTCATAAGCGGTTATATATTGCATGGTCTTTGTTTTCGCCAGCTGGAGGTGAACGATTGATCAGCCTCACTTTACCCTCTGACAATGCAGAGTGTGCTGTGATTCGTATGGCGCTCACTACATGTCCACCCTCTATACACGGTACAATGTATACCCTCAAACCTTTAGTCTCAAGCATTTTTTGTTTATCATAGTGCCTCCCAAACAGCCACCGTTTCTACGAATTCGCTCAAAAACTTGAACGGTTACAAGGATTCCGCTTTTCTATTCGTGCAATGACTTTACCTACGCGATCCTTCGCGATAGTGCTCAGTACGGATCATGACAGACTCTCTCGGTTCATGTGTAGCTTGCCACGAGTGTTATAATAGTATCCAGATACATAAGCTGCGTACACATTTCGCTTCAGTAAGGTGTCGTTTGTGTACGTACAGCACAAAAGTAATGGCTCTTCGGCGTTACCGCTACGGACCTTTAAAGCTTTCTACTTCTTTTCAATGACAAAGGCCCATCAATGCTAGCCCAAAATGAAAAATATAACCTGGAAATTTATGGTCCAAGAAGAAGGCCCGGCTCGTGCTTCTGTAAAAAGAGAGAATTGGGCTGGTAGTGTTGTTGAATTTTACCATATCTGCTCTAACGATCATATACAGTCTGTATATGATCGCTAAAACTCTATCAAGTCCCGCTCCAAGACGAACCCATATAGTTGGGAAGCGGCTCTCAGGAATACCAAGAACGCAAGCAATGCAAAGGATCACATAAAACTGAAGCACGCCGACCATCCTCTTGCCATTCACGCGGAATAGAGTGCTACGGATAAGTCCAGGAAAGATGTCGAGTCCGCCGAAGTGGATTCCGCGTCCGTGTTGGACCTGACACGGGATCCGAATCAAAACCAAGCGTCCATGACTTCTCCTGACGAGGCGAGAGTGGCGTCAGAAGGAAGTGCTTCTAAGCCCTTCTTCCGAGTGAGCGAGAAGACTTTTAACGCTCTCGTCTCGAAGCTCTTGATCTCACAGGGGCTACCATACACGTTGTGCGAGTCCGCCGCTTTCAAGGATCTCATTCGCGCTGCTACTGGAAACCCTGCGTTTCAAGGCCTGGGCTGCGACAGGCACGACCGTCTACTAAATAGCCGCTTTCAGTTATTTTGCGAATTGGTAGGTGAATTGCTGTCCACTGAGTACGAGAAAGCTTGTAATATGAAGTTTTTTAATCTCATTCACGATATATGAACAAGTTGTGGAAAGGATAACATCGTAGGTGCATCGGTCGCCTTTATTGACAGTTTGTGAAGATTCCGCTTTATTGCGGCTCTCGCCTGCGTGAAGAATGACGGCCGCAATACCCCGGCCGTCGCTAAGGTCATCGAGGGTGCGTTTAAATCACGGTTCAATCTGGATATTCGCTCATTGACTGGATACACCATGTCGAACACGACTCCATCAGCGAAGAACGTCGCTGATCACATCGACACTCAGCAAGAAAGTTGTTTTATGCACTTGTTAAACCTGTGTATTGGTTACGGTATCGGCTTTAAAGAGAATATTTAGACGACGACTGTCTGGAGCGAATCTACAGGCTCGTGGGACAAAATAGTTACTACGGTAACCCCCGGAGGAGCTTTGTACGAAGGCGGGGACGTGATTCACAAGCTTCGCAGCCTGAACAACCACTTCCGGTCGCCAAAACAGCGCAGTGCATTGAAGAAGATCCCGGAGACCCTCTCATACCCAGAACTGGAGGACCAAGACGTCCACGTTGCATACACATGCAAACTTATTAGAAGGTCTGTCGTCAACTACGCAGCTTTTGATGCTTACCTCCAGTCTACGAAGGAATCTACTAGCTCATGGAGCGCTCTGACCGCTAAGGATTGGATGCTTGCTGTCGAAATGGAGGCAGCCACCAATTTCATAGCCAATCTTGCTCTGGTAGAGGTGCAGAGCGAGAACCTTGTGTCGTCGTACATGGTTGTGTTCCGGTGGCTTGCAGCGAACAAGTTGAAGGCATTCAAATTTGAAGCCATGACCTTTGAGGCTCCTGGAGCCAAGGATGCTAGCGAAGCGAGTCGTCGTCGAGTGACGAGGACGAGAGACCAGTTCTCGGACGCTGGTAAGACATGTCTCCGAAGAGCTCGTATGCAGCTGCAGGCTCGTTTTCCCAACGTAACCACGGAGTCGATGGCATGTGTTCTGCTGGATCCTAGGACAAAGTCCAGTGCGAAGAAGATTGCCGCCGTCGGTAATATTCCACGCAAGGAGGAAAAAGCTATTTACAAGAATGGTCTTGACTTTCTTCGTGTCGAGCACAGAAAAGTGTTTGCTTAGATGACCAAACAGGGAAAGATCTCTCTCTCTCAGCCGTCGCTGTCCCAAAGTAGTCTTTTGATCCAAGACTCGTCGCCTTTTTTCATCGCCCTCATCAACGGGCTGGGATGACGCAGATGAACTCTTACTAGGAGCACCTATTCGGGCTACAAAGACAAGAGAGAGCTAAAGGAGACCGAAATCAATGCCAGAGCCGACGCTGTACTGCGAGAGTAGATTGATTTAGAACCAGAGTGGCTCGAGGTCACCAAACGCCAGAGCCCCAAGATCAAGCTTAAGGACTTGTCGAAGGACATGTCGATTGACGCACAGAGCGGGATGCACTACGCTCTGTTGGGTCTCTACAAACATATAGATGTGCTAAAGTGGGTTCGAGATGAAGGTGAAGCTCAGTTCCCCTCTATTGCGCTACTGGCGCGTATCCATCTTGGCAAAATCTCGTCTTCAGCGTTCCAAGAGAGGGTGTTTTCAACTGGAGGGATAGTTATGGGACCTCTGAGGACAAGGACGGATAGCAGGCGAGCGGAGAGGCAGCTGCTACTGCGGCACAATAGGGATGAAATCATGAAGATGAAGCTGGACGCTCGCAAGTCGAACGAATCGTAAGTCAGAAATAGTAGTAGTCAAAATAGTATACTAATATGACTACTACTACTACCACTTTGTAGAAGCGCTACTATTTCTAATATGTATTCTTTCGTGGAGACCCAATAGTCCCGGTAATACTACTACCGGTGTCTTACGCTACTACTAATACCTGTATACAGATAACTCCAGCACATCCTGAATTTTTTAATGTGTTAAGAAGGTAAGAGCACTATACTTCGTCGCCGCGGTAGTGAGTGAGCCGCTGCGGTTATCTTCGCTCTATCTACATGATACTTCTGCTTTATTTACTTATCTCGACTCTGCTCGTGGAAGGTTTCGGCCAATCGAGACCACTGCTAGTGACGCCCGCTCGATACGGCCTATCGGCAAATACGAGCGGAAAATACCGCATGAGGGAGAGCTCCGAAATCACCATGTTCAGGAGCCTCAGCGTCTTGATGCTGCGTCAAGTGGAAGCAGCAAGGCATTGAAGCCACTGCAGCTTTTGCCGAGCAAGGGCTAGAGGTAGACGGATGATGCCGCGCCGCGCCGCCTGGCGGCGCTACTTGCGATCGCGCTTTATTAACCCCCCCTGTTACCAACGTCATAAGTTATGACATAGTCCAAATTGTACGTCGTAACTTACGACATAGTGTTTTCTTCATATAGGAGTTGGCTCGGAAACGGCGACCTGATACTGAAATCAAATCAAATTTGGGGCCGATTGGATATAAGGCTGGAGAGGTTTTTGCTGCACACACAAAGCCAGTACGAGGGAAAGGGTTCAAGTGCACCTTTCCAACTGTCATCATTTGATGAGTGGCCAGAAGTCTTCGGGCACTCTCAGCCATTCGAGATTTTGCCGGCTGAGACGTAAGCAAAATGCCGGTCTCTGTGAGCGCAAGGACCAAAGCTGAGGCTCAAGCGTCGGTGTCAGCGCCCGCCCTGGATCCGCGCCTGGTAGACTACGGCCACCTGTGGCGCCAGCTCAAGGCCGCGGGGTGGCGGTCGAAACCTCCCAACCGGACTGTCAAACGATTGGGCGTACGTCAGGCCGTCAAGCGAGGTTCCTGCAGAAAGCGAGATTGTGTTCTACGGTATGTTGTGCTGTTGCAGTATTACTATGCGTCATGTCTAACTTGGGTAGTGGTAGGTGAGAGAGCGGTGGTGGAGCACGCGATCGCAACCGGACTAATTCAGGATGAAGAGGACAACAGCAGTGGCGAGGAAAGTGGAGATGGCGGTGAGGGCAAGAGCGGTGGGGGCGGTGAAGCTGAGAGCGGTGGCGGCGGTGAAGCTGGGAGCGGTGGCGGCGGTGAAGCTGTGAGCGGTGGGGGTGGTGAAACGGAGAGCGGTGGGGGTGACAGCGGTGATGGAGATATGGTGCGAGCGTTGCAGATTGATTGCAATGTGGCCCTCTCGGCCAACACAGTCGACGCGCTGTTCGAAGGTGACAGCGAGAACGATGGCACACCTGCGTTGTCGCAGAACGCGGTTGGGAGAGCTTTCGGGCTATCCCCGCTACGTGCTGACGCGGTGCATGACTCAGACCAGAGTGTCGTGATCGGAGCTTTCCAGCGACTGCTCTCGGAGACGGAGCCCGACCTAGACTCTGAGGACGACACGGTGGAGGAGCCGAGAGACGCTAGCGAGGGTGACGACGCTGGAGGACCAGTTGTACCACGCGATCCAGCTGATGTAAACTTGATGAAGGCTGGAGATCTTAGAGAGGAGTACGAGAGTCTGAGTTCAGGCTCCGACTACGGCCAGTTTTCTGACGACGACGACGTGGAGCCTGTCCGTCCTGATCCTGACGAGGACAAGGTATCGGACGATGAGGAGTCGCCCCACATGGATGCCGCTTTCATTGAGACCCTGGGTGGCACCTTGTCCATCGAGCAGATGGACCAGGAAGCGCTGCGAAACTTTGCCTGGAGCGCGCCTTCGACAGTTTTTGCGGACGATGTGTCCTGCTTTCGCGGATTGGTGCAGGAGACCGCCCATCCAACACCAGAACTTTGCTCGAAGAAAGAATCACCTCTTGAATTGCTGTTTTATTTCCTACCGAAGAGCCTGTGGATGCGGATCACCAAAGAGACGAACCGGATGAAAAGGCAGACGGTGGACCATCGAGCGCGTTATGAACGATCGCGGACGTCCAGAACGGAAAACATGCGTACACTTCGTGAACTTCGACGCCGAATTCGTTGGGAGAACGACTACTCACCGCGCGAGATCTTGTGCGTTATTGGGCTTCTCGTGGCTCATATGCTCAGCCCCATCCGACGCTTTTCGTAGCACTGGGCAATGACTGACGATGGTGCTTTGAGTGCAGGTGCGTTCGGCAAGTACGTGAGCCGGAACCGCTGCACGTCGATCCTGGGCGATCTACACTTCGCGAACAATGCCAACTCGAACCGTCAAGACAAGCTGTGGAAGATCCGTGACGCTGTTGATGTACTGCAGGAACGGCTTCTGAGCGCGTTGAAGCCACCGAACATCATCTCGTTTGACGAAGGCGTCTTGCCGGCGACATCCAAACGCAACACGACCAGGATGTTCATGCCAGACAAGCCTCACCGCTACGGGACCAAGATGTTTATGACATGCGACTCGTTGACTGCGTACTGCCACCGGTAAGCGACGATTTTTTTTTGTTGATTTGCTAGGTCGTAAGTTATGACTTTATGATTTTGACCGTGCTCTCAATGTCGTATCTTTCAGGTTTGAGATCTACGTCGGAAAACGCCAAGCCAGCGAGTCTGCTGCGCAGGCATTTGACCGTAAGACGGGTGCTGCGGCAGTCATCCGCAACCTGAGCACTGTTCTAGCTGGGCATCGTGGCTTCCGGGTTGTGGTCATCGACCGCTTCTATTCGTCCGTAGCTCTCGCCATCCAGCTTCTCTCTATGTCAATCTACGTGATCGGTACGATCATGACGAACCGCCTGGGCTTCAACCGCGACGTCGTAGCGGAGCATAAGACGCGACCAAGGCGCATCGAGCGTGGATACTTCAAGTTCGCAAGATCGACGGCAGTGCCGACCAGGGTTTCGTGCCTCTGGTGGGCCCGGAAGCCGGTCCACTACCTCGCGACAGGTGTGTACATGGCAGAGGACAGGATCCAACGGAACCTGAAGGGGCTCGGGACTTCGATGTTCAAGTGCCCGAGGCTGGTGAGGGATTACCAGCGCTGGATAAGAGGAGTCGACGTGCATGACCAGCTCCGCCTCCAGTCCTCCTCCATCCAGCTCTCCTTCAGGTTCCGGAAGTATTATAAGAGTCTTTTCCTCGGACTACTGGACCTGGCGCTCGTCAACGCGTACCTCACGCATAAAGAGGCCAGTCGGCTCGCCGGCGAGACGCCCATGAAGCGATACGAGTGGTTGAGCATGCTGCACAAGCAGTTGTTACAGCTCAAGGACGAAGGCTTCATGGCAGCCCCCACTCCGTCGCCAGCAGCACGCAAGCGACGGCGCCCTGCATTCTCCGGTCACACGCTCGTGCAGTTCAACGACTGGGTGACTGTGAGGGGCGGCATCCAGAAGAGGCGTCAGCGGTCGTGCAATGTGTGCTCGCTGTATCGAGGCGATCTCAAAAAGTCGTTTCAGACGACCTACTACTGCCCGGACTGCTCCAACGGCGACGCCAAGTTCTACTTGTGTGGCAAGGCGCCCAGAGGTGGCGACAAGACTTGCTTCCAAGTGTGGCACGAGGACCTCGCGTGCGGTGACAGGATCCCAGCACACCTTGGCAAGCGAGTCGTGCTGCGCCGCGCTCCCAAAACCGTCGGCGTCCGCAAGAAGACTCGTCGTGAGATTCTCCGCGACGACAATGAGGGTGCTGACGAGGAGGCCGAACCGTGAATGCGAAGGAGCGCCAGACGATGGGGACAACTAAGGATACTGTTGTTTGTTTATAAATAGTTGTTGTTTTTTCTTGTTTTCGTCGGCAACGGCAAATCTATTTTTTGCCGTTGTCGACGAAAAGAGTATTTTTTTATTCTGGTTTTGTTTATTTTTATGTGAGGGCCCTCCCAGCTGGAGGGCCCTCCTTAGTTTCCCCCCTGACGATGAGTGTGTTCATTGCTTCATAAATGTGACGTCCTTTACCATATGCTCTGTGTCTGGTCCTCTTTTAGCATGTCAGTCATCGAAAAGCCCTGCTCTATGTGTGCACTCGCTTGCGTCTTCCCGTTTTAATTTTTATGTTCACTCTTACAAAGTCGTAAGTGTCGGTGTCCGTGTCGTTTGGGTCATCCTTACGTCGTATGATATACGACGTAGTGTGTCAAAACCTTTGAGAACGTATACCTCCCATCGTTTTGGATAGGCAAGTGGAAGATACAGCACCATACAAACGCGCTGGTAAAAGCTACGCCGTAAGTTATGACGTAAAATTAGTGGTTCACGGGCTCATTTTACGGTAACAGAGGGGTTAACAGACCTCTTTATAGGTATTAAGATCTTCTAGTTGTGTAAGAATATTTACTAATAAATACCTGGGGATTATTGAGTAAAGTGAGCTATATTTTGTTTCGTACACCAAGTTTCTATCAGTTTATACCCATGCAAAACCTTTACTGCTTTTTTGTATGGAGTGCAATTGACTTTTCCTACTGATGCAAAAGAGTTAGTTCGAGATTATGTACAAACACAAATAGTACGTATCGATTCGATACAAATTTCAAATGAGAAGGTCTTATTTTTCTAACAGCTTGTATAAAACTCACAGGTTTCTCTCCGGGGAAAAGGTTTAACATGGATATAAACTTATTCAAACTTGGTGTATCACAAATTCTTCGAGGAAATGCTGGTGATTCGGTCGCTTTTTTTGCATTGCCCTAAGTCTAGTCTTTTTTAGTAGTCATCGATATGTCATATTCCACATTATTTGAATAATAGACTAAATAATTGTGGTGTGGGTGCAGAGATCTGATTAGAAAGTGGACCATCAGCACTAATATAAACGTTGTGTCACATTGATATAGAATTTTGTTATGGCCGAATCACAAGGCAATCGTCGCAAACGCGAACAAGAACCACCACAAATCAGTTCTGTGCATGTACGACATTTGGATCTACAGCGGTTGCTGTTAATTATAATAGATGCTGCTGTTTCATTACTATGAGTGCACTACAGGCGGATAAAAGGACGAGATGGTGGCCGTAGCTGAGGCGAAGAGGGCCGATCTTTTATATTTCTTGTTGAATTTGCCTTGTCTAGTTGACGAGCCGCTACATTTTCGTAAATGCCTGTGTACATTTATGTTTTGCTGTGATACTGTGTAGGTGCGTAGTGGTAACGTTCTGGTCACTACACAAGCGAGAAGGTTCTTTTTAACGCATATGGTGGGGACGGTCAGTTTTTTTTTCACAGTTTTTATATGTATGGATAATAGCGCTTGGTATGTACCTTGATTTTGTAGCTGAGTAAGGATCACCCGCACCAGCTCACGCTTAGCCATTATTTGTATACCTTAGAGTAAAAACTTGAGATATGTTGTTTATATAGGGTGCTCCCA